AATTTAAAAATAAATTAATTTCGAACCGGCCAACAGTAGGAAAAGAAGGAATTAACTATTTTATAAGAGATTGAGAAAGTTTCTTTTCATGTGCCATCGGATATGAGTAGTGTAGAATCCAAAAATATCATCCTACATTATAATCCGATAGTTAAGATTTTACAGAGTTCACACACAAATTATCAACGGTTCAAAGTAATTAATGTTAAATGCAAAAATGTGATATCCTTGAGATACACGGTTCTTTCTTATTGGAACAGTCACTATTTAGCTTTATTCTGTGTTTGGAAATTTTGAAATTGAACAATTAATCCAAATATCGATTTAAAAAAAAATCATAAAGAGAAAATTATACCAACGCTAATATTATATGTGCATATACTCCGGTGGCGATAACAAACCGTTCATGAACAGAGTAATTCCAAGCACAATGCTCAATGAAGCAGATACATTGGCAAGTACAAAACTAATATCGTATTTTGTTCCAAAATAAAATAGATCAGCAGTTGTATAAAGATGAGCAATACAACCAATACTCAAAAATTGCAGAATAGCTGACAAATAATAACAATTTTTTATTAGTGAACGAGTAATTGATTTGATCGGAGCTCGATTTGAATAACAAATTTTCTTATACCATATACAAAGAACAGAACTGATAATATTTTCCAGGATTTTTCTCTCCTTGCTCTGCCACCAAGTAGAACCGATACTAAATGCAACCAGGCCAAACCACCAACGACAGAAGCAAGGATCATTCCAATGGCAGCGGCCTCCCACTCCTCACAAAAATTACGTTCATTACAATCATCTTTTTCAGAAGATGGAAAATAACGGCATGTATCATCCTTGCTTGTGCATATCTTAAATAGGCCATAATATGTGCTTTGATGGATGGGCCACTTTCGAGTTGAAAAAACAAGCCTAAACAAGTTGAAGAAAATTAAAAATTAAATATTTTTAATCAGTGGAAAGGTTAAAACTTTTTTGTGATATTATTTCACCGAAAAGAGATATTGACTCACCAATTTGGTAATAACATTGCTAATAACGAGAAGAAGTAAGAAATTGTGAACAGAATTGATATTAATGCGTATGCTACTAACGACGGCATCTTGAACAAGGAGCAGATAGAAAATTAGAAAATGATATTTGAGATAAACTCAAGTTCATTTTTATTTGCTGATTTTCTGATTCTACGGACGGTGCTTAGGGGTAGAGTAGTACATTTGAATGTCCCGAGCTTTTTTGGCCTTGTCCCATTCCGGGACATCCCACTTGACCTATTAGTTTTTCGATGTTTGACTTGAAAACCTATAACAAAAAAAAATATATAATTAATTTTTAAGCATTTTAAGAGCTGAAGGTTGTCTTAAGAAAATTTTGAATTATTTTGTAATCCAGTGATTAGGAACGAATGTAGTATTCTTCGATTCGAGACCAATTTGAATGGTTTAAGAATCATCAGATAGACCTTATATTAGCTTTGATATTATGTGATCTGCTACTTTGCCCACTTCGCCATATTACACCCTTTTAGCAGTATTAAGTTATTCAAAGAATCAAAAATATATATCCTAAAAGTTTGATATGAATTAAATTTTTATTAATATACTGTATTCTTTATTTTTATGCTATACAAAATATTAAGAACCAATTTTTAACTATACTATATCTAGCTGTATTATAAGTAAATTAAACTATATATATACAGTATTATAATTTAGAGTATTGCTAATTTTCCCCCTGGTTAAAATAGCCATGGCTTAAATAACTATGTTTAATACATTAAGTAAAAATGTTCAGCACTATAAAACCCTTATCTAACCCTAATCCTAAATTTTAACTTTTTTTCTAATTTAATTTTAAAATTTAAGTATAAATTATAGGTGGTTAAAATTTATAATTTTAACCAGGGGTTAAAATTAGTTAAATTCTTTAATTATTAACTATATATTATAATTTTAATTATTACTATATATATATTATATAATTTAATTTTTTTTTTAATTTTTACGGATATTATAATTTAATTACAGAGGATCCTCGTTAATATCAACTTCGTTAATATCAACCTAAGCCACAAACCAAATTTTTATATATTTTTATATTTAAAATTCCCTTATACATATCAACTCTAAATATAATCCCTCATTGATATCACTATCAACATGGATTTAAAATCAATCCAAATGGGTTGATATTAATGAGGGTCATCTGTATTAACTATATATTATAATTTTAATATTAGCTATTATACAGTAATTTAATTAACTATTAAACAACCTAGAATACAATTTATCATGTCTTCCTTGCAAGATATCTAACAATGGTGATGTTTGTACAGCAGCTTTACTGTTCAATTTACAGGTTTTTTCTAAAGACTTTTCAACATACACTTGGCATTCTGTTAACAGTCTTTGAGAGTAATATGGACCAATAATGTTTAATCGAACAGCTGCTGATAAAATTGCACGAGCAAATAAGAATAGGTAAAGATGTTGTGTCCGCTCTGTTAAATTGAAAAATGGTTTAAAAAGGAATTGAGAAAAGAATGCTATTTAGAAAAACAATTACAAATTACCCAAGCTAATTCCAAGACACTTTGTAACCAGTCCAAAACAAATCGGCAAATGTCCATATGAAATTTCTTTTCTAACTCTAAGCTTAAACTTTTCTACTAGAAAGTCTTTCATGTTTGATTGACTATCTTCATTAGTAAAAGATTTAGCAAACAAAGTTAACATAGCAACACCTTGAGCTTTCGAAGCTCGCTTTGTAACGTAGTTTGATGTACAAGCGTCATATAAATCATCTAAACCTATAATTTTTTCCATAATTTTTTCTATATCATTCACAGAATCTTTTAAAATTTCATTGTTCGAACTTTCTATATCGATAGCCCACCAAGTATCGGTAACAAATGGTAACGAACTATAAGCATAATTGTCAATGCTACTACTTAAAAATAATAATAAAGATTCATTATTTGTAACGTGTCCTGCTTGAGTTGCAGACTCCAATCCAGCAGAAGCTACGAAACCTCCAGTTGGCAACGCAGAATCAGTAAATTGCCATAATAACCAATCTTCACGATTTGTATCTTGAGTTTGAACGTTCATTTTATTTCTAAAAGACCCAAAATTTATACCGCATAAAATTTTTAATTAATATAAATGGCCAAATAATTGTTACACAAACTATTTATATGGACAGTTGAAAATTTGATATACCAATTTCACCATAATGTTAAACTCAAGGTGCCCTCATTTATAAATAAAATTTCTTCGTTTTTGAGTGTTTCTAGCAGAAAATCTTTTCTAATCGTTTTAATCGCTTTTTCCATGAAGTTTTCATAAGAACAAAGGTAGGGCGTTTGGTAATTGACAGAGTTTATTGAGTTTATAGACATATATACAGTACGTATTATTTATCAAACAAAAAAGAAAACTATCTCTAATACTGTATATAGTATAATAAATACGCGATTTTTTACAGTAATATAGATTATGGAATAGTAATATGTTAGATTTAACTTGTTTTTAGTAAAATATAACAGTTGAAACATAGAATAAAATTACTTTAGTATTAAAAATAGTTTGTTTTTATTAATAGATATGATTTTATTGTATTACTGGTAATATATTGTACTACCAAGTGACACTTTTTAAAAGCAATTATCTACTAAATTTAAAATTTATATTTATAACACCATGTTATATAATATTCATGTACTAAGTAAATGAATATAAACAGGGTTAGGTTCATTAGGAAAATTATTAATAGAACCAATAAAGTAAATAAAATAGTATTTATTGGCTTCATTGACTTTATTGAACCAACCAATCATATTTATATTATTATAGTAATTATATTCTAATTTATATAATCGCTAATAACTTTTGATCCACTGATCTGTTTTAGATAAATTAATTACCAAAATATTTATCTTAATGAGAGCATTTTAGCAAAGTCAAAACTGCTAAAATCTAATTATAAGATTCCAAAATCAATCAAATGTTGTATAATTTTAATAAGAATTTTAACTCTTATAAAATTATATAAAATTTGAATGATTTTGGATTTTGTAATTAGATTTTAATGATTTTGACTTAGTTAGAATCTACTTATTAAGACAAACATTTTGGTAGTTAATTTATCCAAAATGAATTAGTGGATCAAAGTTATTAGCAATTTTATAAATTAATTTAAAATATATATAGTATTTTATTAGATTTTATTGGCTCTATTGACAAATTATTCTTAATAGAACAATAGAGCAATGTCAATGAAGATCTACTCTATTAGACTCAATAAATAAATATACCAACTCTGGATGTAAATGCTCTAAGTAAAAATGATCAGTGTTTTTAAAAATCTTATAGAAACTGAAATCAGAACCTATTAGTACCTTATGTTTATTTACAGTATACTGTATAATAAAATATCACTATTTATCTTAAAACTAAATCTAATCCTAAGTAAGATATATAGAGTATTATATAATATGATAATACAGTATTTTTTTATTTAAATATATTTTTAAAAGATAACTTAGAAAATGCTAAGACCTGGGGATGGCAAACCAAGCAGCAGTAGCAGAGGCCTGGCTTGAGATACAAAGCTAGTATACTTAGAAATACAAGTAAAAGGTTTGGAGCATTTATGTAATATTAAGTTGCATGAAGAAATGCAAGCCAGTAGATGAAATGATATAATCACTTCAATGGGAGGTATCACATAAACTGAGCAGTACAAACTCATAATAAGTTCCCTTTCCAATATGTGATACCAATATTTCTCAT